CATACCCCTATACCCTTTATAGAACGGCTATATATGTTGAAGATATTGAAAAAGTCATCAAACACTTGAGAAGGAATTTATTTTAAAGATTATTATATTTGGAATTTAATGCCAATATCTTTATAAACTATACACAAGAGTATCTATAACTAAGACTATTGGTTACATTTTAGGGATAAGCTTATACTTGTATCCCCCATTTAAGCTCAAATTACGGCACCATATCCCAGTTTATTTTGAAAACAAACTAAGGGCATCAGGATATTGCGATTCCTGATGGGACAAATTCTAGGGACAGCACCCCAGTTTGTTGATGTTGTTGTGGCTGTTCTCGAGTTGTTTTCATGCCCATATGCCGGCCCGATGACACTTAACAAATGATCGCATAAGTGCACACAAAACGCACATTGCACATCGTGGCCAGGCCACAGGGCCAGGGAATACTGTAGCCATTGATTGGGTTGTTCCAGGTCCGGGTACTCTGGGTACTGGGTTGGAATTGGGAACTGGGTATGGGATCGAGATCGGGACGTGTCGGGGATGGAGATGTCTTTTGTGTGGGCAAATATTCTCAAGTGCTATCACTGCTCAACCGGCATATTTTGTATCACAACAAGTCGTGCCGCTGGTGGGGGATATAGAAGAATATATAGAACCTATAGAGAGTCGGTCGAGTGCCATGTGAAATGTTTACAAAATAAATGCGGCACTTGAATTAGGCAACATTTGTTGTCGACGACGAAGACGACGAGAGGCAGGTTTGCCTTTTTATTTTTGTTCATGCTTTCCTGTTGCCTTATTAAACTCAATCAGTTTAATCAAATTAGTAGAAATCAGCACTAGACGAGAGCAAAGATCCGAGATCCCGATCCTCACGAGCAGCCAGTGTCAGTGTTTGGTGCGTTGGCGTTAAGAGAAGACTAAGCAAAAAAAAAAGTTGGCAATGGCATTTGGTGCCGGTACACCCACTTTTTATTTTGGCACTGGAAGCCAAAGGAACCTTTTGTCCGCCTGAGCTTGACTCTTGAGATTGGGTCTGGGCTTGGGCCACGTCTTGGCCCAGGCTCTTAGCCTTTCTGTCTGACTGGCAGGCTGTGGCACATTAAGCCGTGCATTTAGTCGCCGGGTCTCTGGGCTGGCATTTGAACTTATTGCCACAGTTGGGCGCGCTGTCATAAAACCAAAATAGAAACCCATGAGGAAAATCCAAACTCTGTAGGTTGGCATATGTACTAAGGCCATGAGCGTAGATTAAAAGGGGTTTCAGGACAGACTCTATACTTTTAGATACTAAATAAAGAGATTAAAAATCAATAGAAGCCAATCCCTTTTCGTGTTTTGAAATAATGTCCTGTTGGTAACGAAAACCCCTGAATATTCTCACCACTTTTGTGAAAACTTACACCGACAGCCTGTTTATGGCTTAAAACAAAAGCCACAAAAGCCAAGACACTCGGTGCCATGTGTGCCCTTTGGCACTTTATTTTTCTCCAGCTGCATTGGCTCTTTGCCGTCTTTCGGGCCAGGTTAGTTGATGAACCAGGCTCTGGGCCAGCCTAGGCCTGATTTTTCCTTCTTTCCCATTTTTTTGGGAGTGGGTGAAGCCTTGACTTGGCTGTGGAAAATCCTTTAGAGCGTAACTAATTAAAATATCAACATTTTAAGAGGCGTTGTGAATGTGTTAAATTGACTTTTCTCGAGGGTGTCTTTGTCACAGCTCCACTCAATGGCTTTTCCGTGAGTTGGGTCAACAATTGGGCATTTTGCAAAATATTGCATTCACGAAAAGAGAGCTCAGAGTGCAGGCCTTTAACTAATTAAGTTGCAATTAAATGTTTTAATTGCTGATAGTCCCCCAGCCCCCTTTCCCCCTTGGTTTCCGTTGGGCAGAAAACTACAAAATGCGTGGCGTCCAAATGAGGAGCGCGCCTCATTAAAGTGCGCACGGTCTGCGGGGCTATTACCAAAAGACCTGGCCTGGCCTGCACGTCGCCATGCACTTGCAAAAAAAAAATTTAAAAATAAAAATAAAAACGTTAAGAATGAGGTAAAAGGGAAAATATTAAAGCGGAAGAATAATGGGAAAAGTTAACCAAGTTAAACGGCTATTGAATGCTCTTCTTGAAAGGATTAGAAAGCTTCGGGTTCCGGATTTTAAATCTATAAGGACTAGTTTAAGAATATATTCAACAGGCTTGTACTTTTATTGCCCTTAATTAGTTAAAGTTTAAAACTCTCCATAAAAGCCTTATTAAATATCACAAACAACTTTCATCCAATTACAATCATTCGCGTATAAACTTTATTATTCCTATTAATTAAATATAATTTTGCATGCTTTAAAGTGTTTGCATTTTATTCCGTTTCCTTTTCGGCCAAAGGGTGTTTAGGCCTGGCCTGAATGCTTGCCTTTTTACAACTTGGTCGTCTGCGCTTTAGTTGCTGTTGTTAAAAGGGCTGCGCGCATGCGCAGAACACATGCCGTGGGCCATGTTGTTGCTGTTGCTGGTGCCCGGGCTGGTGCTGGTGCCTTTGTTGCTGTTGGTGGAGCCCTTGCCACTGCTGCAATAAACGTCAAAATGCGGCCCATTGCTGTCCATTTCATCAACGTGTGAAATAAATCACTCAAAGTGCTGCAGATCCATTAAGGGCAGCAAAAGCCGCAGCAGCAAAAGCAACAGCACCAGCATGCAGCATGCAGCAGCGGCAACAGCAACATCAGGAGCAACAGCAATGAGCGAAACTCGTCGCGTCGCCTTTGTGGTAAATACATTTTTAGCATTTTGTCTGCTGATACCTTTGGGTGTTGTACATGGCAGCGACGACGTCGTATGATGACGCTGTCGACGGCTGGCTCCTGGAGCAGAAACACCAGCAACATCATCGGACAATAAAGGCGAGTGGCCACGCTCTTTTTTATACATACATACTCATATATTGTTTTTGTCTGTGCCACATACCCCTGGCTGCCAGGTCGTTGTTGCATGCCTCACCTTGATTCCTTCGCTGTCTGCGACTTTGACTTTCCATTTTTTCCGTCGTGATGCTACGCAGCATGCAACATGCAAAAATCCAAATTATATTTCATGACTTAAATTCAATTAGTGGCAGGGCGGGAATGGCACTCGAAATCAAAAATTACAAGTGGAGTGGTAGCTTGCGCTTTCGTTTCGAGTATGTACGGGTATGGGGCACTAAACCCAGATTCTGCCACCGAAATGGCATTGCGGAGTTGCATGTTGCTCTGGGTTCTCTGGGGCAACGAAACCAGAGGCTTGGCATTAAATCAAGGCAGCAGCCATCAAAACAAGTAGCTGCCGCAGAAAGTTGATTGAAAGTTTGAGGCAAGTGCAGCTGGAAAATGAAAACAGCAATATGCAATGAAGTGGATCCAATGACAAGCTGGGTAGTGCCACCAAAAAAGCACACGACCTACCTAAAGAATACATCGAGTTTTGCAATAGAGAAACCTTAGTGATTAATTGGAAAGAGTTGATGTTGTGTGACCTGGTAATTGTGATAATTAATTCATAATATGTCAATTGTGAAAATATCCTCAGGGTGATATCAATCAAGGTGCATAAACATGTGCTCCCTGTGGCCACCCACTCATTAGGAAACTCCCCGAGGGTCGCAAATACATATTTTATTCCGATGACTAGGGCCCCAAGGCATTTGGTACTGGTACTTTCTGGCCATTGTCGTAAAGTGCAACTAATTGCTTTAATTTGCAACACACACACACCCCCCCTGGATACACATTGTATGCGTAGCACACTTGTAATAACAAGCAATCATCGATGCATATAAATCTTATTGGTACTCTTTCTACTTAATTAGTTTTAATGTCGCACAAACAAAAGCGCATAACTAACAATTAAGCCCATGGTATGGTTATGGTGCATATTTCGCATATGAATATATTTCGCCAGTGCGTCTCGGGCATAAATCTTAATTACGCTCCGTCGAGCGTAAATCATCATCAGTTGCAGTGGCAGCCCTCGAGTCTCGAAATCAGTCCCCCCCACAGAATTGATTCTCCGGCAAGAAGACTTTCCGCCTCCGAACTTTGTCAATTTCCAGCTTTTTACGACCTCAGACTGAGTGACGACTCGCCGATGAAGACTGTTAACCCTATTTTGGCTCAAGCCGGATTCTTATTCTTCGAGCCGAAAGTTCTTTTGACATAAATGGCATAAATTTAAATCGTTAGAGAGGCCCTCTTCTTGGTCATGACAATTTGCGCAATCAGCTCCAGCTCCAGAGAGCTTCAGCACTCGGCGGGCAATTCAAAAAGCGGAATTTTTAAAAGTTGTAAAGATTAAAAGTCCATTAGCCGACCATGGAGCGTAGAGCGAGGAACTTGTTTGGGCCATCTTGCCGCATCCATTTAAATGCGCGCAATGCAATCACTCAAATTGGCCAAAGCGCCAGAACGTGCACGAAATCCACGAGGGGCATAAAATATTTTAATCCATAAGATGCAGTTAAGTGCATCCATCAGAGCGTATTTAGAATTTAATAAATACGGAAGCGAGAACACGACTCTCCAACAAGTCCTACCAACGAGGCAAATACACTTCGAGAGGTATTTTAATTTATTTAAATTTCTCGCTTCTCTCGCCACATAACCGCCTGCAATTTGGACCAAGGCAACACGACTTTCTTGGCCAGGAACATAGTAGAAGAAGAAAAGTGAACATCCATTAGTTGTGCTAATGATGCGCAACCCACTTTGCAGTGTTCCGCCCCAAGTGGAACCACTCTTCTTCCCCTAGCCCGCCAAAGTCAGAGTCAAAGCCAAAAGCCAGTGTCCTGAGAGGGGGGACTGGCCGGCCAGACTTTGAAACGCATTTGGCTAGCTCGGTTAGTTAGCCTCACTCGCTCGTGTGAGAGTGGCTAATGCAGTTCTTGGCCAATAAAGGGAGTGCCGAGAGATCCTCTTAGTGGAATAGTCGGAATAGCAAATGCCCTGAGTGCCAAAAACTCCACGTCGGTAAGTGTATTTTTGAGACTTTATTGGAACATACTTTCACTCCAAAGGCCAGGCGGCACCTGGTATTTGTTTTTCCTTTACAGATACACCTGAAAAGTGGGAAAGCCAATATTAGTCTACTTTCACAAAAAATATGTCTGCTATAATTACCATTAATTGATTCAAGTAGAACTCATAGGGAATGTGGCCACTAATGGGATCTATAGCCACTGGCCACATTTCATCCATTTCCTCTTGGGTGAAAGGCTCTCCCTCCTCCATCATAAGTTTTCCAAAGCTTTCCTTGGTCAAGTAGCCTTTATTTTCGGGATCAAGAATCTTGAAGGCCTGAAGAATTTTCTCCGGAGGGGCAGGCTCCATTCTATAACATAAATTCATTAAAAAAGATAAAAATATTAAAGAACCAATTTACTTTCTTTCCATAAGCAACTGAGAGACATGTGGCAGGAACTTGGTCAGGTGGACTTCGCCACTAGTTTCCTCCGATTCCGTGGCAGAGATCACTTCATTAACCTCCTGTTCGGTGGGAACACAGCCCAGTAGTCTCAGGACAGTTCCCACTTCACGAACATCTATAAACTTGTCGCCATGATGATCAAAGACACAGAATGCATCCGAAATACGCTTCTCCAAGTCGTTGTTTACTGGAAAATATTTAAATTCAAATTTTATTATATATTTTAGATACTTTTAAAATAGTTACAGTCCATATCCATCTTGAAAGCTTGAGTTTTACTTCCCAACTAATATTAAATCAATAAAATTCTATCGGACGACCGTTGCTAATGGTGACTTTAGTTATTGTTGCCAAGCAATCTTGTTTATTAACTGCAGAAATCTTTTTCGCAGGATGAGTATAAAAACGAATTCTTAGATCCATAGGCGTGTCCATAATGCACACAGTAAAAGGCCATCATACACTGGCCATTAGCCAGCTCGTGAAGGCCATCATCATATTGGCCCATTACCATTTCACCATTTCAGATCTGGTAAGGAATACGGAAGACTTTTGCCTCGAAAGACTACTGCCTTACTGGGTGCTCTTGGGCAGGAGCAACAAGTGCATTTTGGAGCTGTGCCCACTTTAATGGAAATTACTGCAAAGTTTGCCATTAATTTTGCCGCACATTTGTCTGGCTTTGAGGCTCGTCTCGGCATCTCTCAGCTCACAGCTCTCAACGCATTCGATTCGATTAAAAAATGGCAAAGAGGCAAGTACGAGAACTGCTTCATTCACGCTAATGCGTGTCGTGTACAACACGCTTGCCACTCGAGTGGATGTATCTCCTAGATACTCTCGGCATCCCAGTCCCTCCTTCCGTCTTCCCGTCTTCTGACTATCTGGGCGCAATCTCCTCCTGGCCGGTTCGGGCCCTCAATCTGGTCCTAAACCCTGGTCGGACCCTGGCTACTGCCATAAACACTAAAAGTGTTCGTCATTTGCTGTTCCAGATCCAATTAACCATTTTGATGCATTTGCCTCCATTAACTTTTTTTTTTTGCCTTCACTCCCTGCCCGTTTCTACCCTTTTTGGCTCGAAAAGGCCAGGCCAAGTCGTCGCTTGCAATTTCGCTGCCGAGTTGCAACGTGATCGGAAGTTTGTCTTAGCCGCATCTTCGAGATACTCGTACTCTGTGGCAAAAGCTATATCTGACGACGTGTCCGTGACTTGCAGACACCCATACGAGGAGTCTGCCGGAGCTGTTGCAAAGTACTTTGTAAATGTTGGCATGATTTAAGTCGGCTCTTAGTCTCTTTATTCTGACATTTACCCCGGGTTTGTCTATTAGGCATGCGATTAAAATTTAAATTGAAGTCGCGCAGCCTCGGCCCAGGCCAGGGATTGGGTTTCATCCATGGTCCCTCCGATATTCTTTTTCATCTTATTTTCCTATATAGATTCAGCCACGCCCAGTGCAATTTCAGTTCGACTATAACCAGTTCCGGTTCTTAAGACTCATCTGTCAATTTCGACACCTTTGGCAGACATGGTCGGCAACTTGGTAAGTGCCTCGGTGTTTCCTGTCCAGGAAATGGCCTAGGCTTACCTATTTGCATAGCAATAAAACAGGGTCTTTGTATATTTAAAGCGGAAAGCAATATTTTTAGTAATTTACAAGAATTTCTATAGCCATTCACTTAGACTATATATTGAGGTCACAATCCACTCGAATCGATTGCCCTTTTTCAGAGCCCAATCGAAATGCCATTTCCCATTAATAAACAATTATTATTATGATTGGTTTTTTTCAGCTTTTTCTTTTTTTGCATTTAATGTTCGATTCGAATTGCGTTACACACTGGGTGCGTATGTGGACTGGAGTAATTAAATGGAATTTAATAAACATAAACATCCGAATAATGAATGCTACCTTTCACAGCAGTGGCAGTGGCAGTGGTAAGCGGAAAACTCTGAACAAAAGACGGCCCAGAGACTTTTGTTGAATTAATTAGAGTAAAAAAAGGCTGCCAGACAGCAGTCAGCAGCCAGTATGCCAGCAGCATACGCCTTTGTATTCACGTACTCTTAAACGATTCGTAAAAAGAATTCAATTCAGTCGAAGTGATATGAAAGAATTGATTAATAATCATAGCTAAAACCACAAAAGACCAACCCAGGGGCCAACCGATCTTGGGGCCCCCTTTTCGTATCCGTGGCTCCCCCATTTCGGGCCGCCAACTAACTGGCTGTGGCTACTGGCCGGCAAAAGCCGGCTAAAAAACGCTGACGCCATGGTCTCCACTCTCGGCTCACATCAAGGCCAATTGGGTTGGCTCCGAGCTCCAAACTTCAAACTGATCGGTGAATACACGGGCAGAAATATATTCAAGGAGTACTTTGATATGCAAAAATTGTAAGCCAAAGTATATCCAGAAACTGGTTAAGTCTTCTGGAACACAACCACTATTTTTCCCAGTGCTTAGCCGCAATTGTAGGCCCGATCTCAGTACACATGTTGCCCAGTGGCTGCCGTGCTCCATATTCTGGAAACTCGGAGCTCGAGACTTGACTTTGATTCAATTTCCATATGAAAACATCGATTTGCGTTTGTGCGCCCGCGTCGTCGTAATCAAAGTGTTGTTTATGGAACACGTCCGGCGTGTTTTTGCTCTTTTTTCTCTGCTATTTTTCTTTATACTGTATTTTTTTTTGTTACCCCTGGTTGTTGGCCAGGCCTCGTTGGCCAGGTATAAAAAATTGCTCACGGCAACAATTGCGCGCGTCGGCTGAAAAATATGTAGCAACGATTACATTTGCCTATTGCATGGAGGAGCCATAGCAAACGAGTTAGAGTCCCCAGTCCCCAGTCCTCCTCAGTCCAAGTCCAAGTCCAGGTCCAAGCCCAAGCCTTTTGCTAGTCCCCAGTTATGATTGAGTTCTAATGAGTTGAGAAAAATGTATCAAGGAAAACCAGTTCCCGGAATCGCAATTAGATAAGTGGGTTTATTCATGCCACAAACGTGAACTGCAATTGACCAGCAAGAAAGAATCGAATGGGACTAGGAAATGGAAATTGTTAGCACCGAACAACGGCCTAACAAATGTGTAGCACATTTTATATAATAAGGCGTTGCGAATATTTTTCAATTTCATTTATTTTCGGTGGGTTTCTTAGCAGAGACGTGGAGAAAAATGGCCATTACCCCAGAGGAGAACTGGCTTAACTGGCTCAGCAGCAGGTGTGGGGCATCGGATATGCAAAATGGCAATAATCCAGAATATATTACAAATAATGAATGTGACTAAGGTTCAGCGATTATCCATTCAGTCTCTATAATGTGAAATCTGCACTAGTTTTAGGCTTGGATTAGAAGGCGTGAATTATTAATATTTTGAACACGCCTGGTAGCCGAGAATGGGAAAGGGAAAGGCCTTTAATTCCAGATCTGATTTTCCAGTTAATTGCCTTGAATCCGTAGACTGCCTCACTTTCTAGCCGTTAAAATGGACTACGCCCTAATGTGCGTGCCTTTCCAATTACCAACTAGCCGGCCGGCCGGCCCATCATTAGCCACGTTTACTAATGATTCGGCCGGCAACCTAGACCTGGCCTGGCCTGGCCTGGGAACTTGAGAACGAGAACTTTTCCGACGTTTTCGCATGCATGTGATAATGGTTTTTGGCGGCTCTTTGATTTTACTCGTAACCAATGGGACAAGCCAACAAGACAATAAATCAATAATTATTGCAAAATAATGTCCGGCTTCGAGTGCAGGCACAAAAAAAACTTAACAAAAAACATAAATAAAGATAAATTACAGAGCTGTGCAGCGGACGGGCAGGCAGGCAGGCGTATGACTTAATTTGCCAATTTAAACGCCAAAGGCTAAAGTGTACTTTACTTACTTCTTGGCCAAAAACCAAAAAAGGCCAGACAGCTGGCTGGTTTTCTGGCCCACCGTTGTGGCCGTTTCCCTCGATCGTTCTAAACGTCAATTTCCGTGCCACCAGCAGCAGCAGCAACAGCCAAAGTAGCAGCAGCCGCAACTGTCTGGCTTATACCTTGTCTTATTAAGGCCCAAACGCGTGCGCCCAAAGGAAAATACAAAACAAAAAAGCAAAAACCAACAGCAGCAAAATAAGAATTCTATTATGCCAGGCCGTACAATGTGATTAACTTGTTGACCCCTGCCAAAGAGCAAACAATAAAAAGTATTCTTAAAAATTTAGAACGGATTTTCGAGAGGTCCGAAATTGCATTTCGACTTTTGAGGATTGTGGTCGGGAGGAGGAAAACCGCATGCATGCACTTCCTTCTGCAACATTTTTATGCAAACAGAAATCAGAAAACCGAAAGCGAAACTGGAAATTGGCATTTGTTAGGCGTTGCAAATAATTGAAAATCTCCAAAAAGCCCAGACCGCAAAGGAAAACAAGTTGTGTCCATTGTTGCATCCACAGGGGACGCACAGGAATGCAACTTGTGTCCGAGATTGAAATTGCGCACCTGACTTTTGGGCCAGGTGAGATTTTACTGTGGTAATTGATATTGATTATACATTACCTCTCAGTGGCTTTATAAATTTTCATATTTAAATTAATGAAAACTATCCAAATTATGGGATAAATTCCTAATATTAAGAGGAATTCGACAAACCCTATCTGATTACCTTGAACCACAGTGATCCGTCTGAACATGTTAATTTTCATTGCCAGCTTTCGCTGCAAATTTATGAACACTTCATTCCGAGACATCGAAGGAAAACCTGCTGGAAAATTGATTTTTCCATAGCATGACAATCACTCGCCCCAAAAATAGCTGCCTTTGGCTGGAAGGCTACCGCCCACCGAAAAAAAAAATCGCAAAATAATAGCAGAAAAGAGTCGTAGTTAGCCGGGCCAGCTGATTCATGACTTAATCACCGCCGATCGGTAGCAGCCCAACTGGCTGCACCCAAAAAATACGGCTTTATCAGTGGGCCGAGTGAGTGGCTTGTGCCTAGAGGCGGCCAACGAAACCACTTGGCCAAAACTCTTTGGCTTTGTGGTCGAGTCAATTGATTGTTTGCTCTACAACCGCAGGACTAGAACGACATAGTATTTAAAACAACATCCAAATCATTCTTTTATAAAGTCGTAATATTGTTTAAAGCCTGCTTTTTGTGCTCTGGCCCGGAACTTATAGCCAACTAGCTTGCTAGCAAATTTTCACTCTCTTTTTGCTTTTTTAAGCTGGCTAAGACAACGGCCCACATCCGCTAGATCGGTGCTAGAAGGAGGAGTGTA